ATGGCCCACACTACACAAAGGACAGGGACTGTGTACTTCTCAAACATAAGTGTATGTCGTGCTAGTAAAAACAAAATGCCAGTGAAAATTCAGTTTCCTTAGAAATGTAATGGGCTGGCTTTACTATCACATGGAGTTTTGAGATGGTACAAGGCTACTTGTATCTCTGTACTGACATACCTCCTAGTACTGTGGTATCAGAAGAGTAGCTGCCTGCAGCCATTAGTTATGAAGTTTGTTTCTAAATATTTCTAAATGAATATTTCTAAATATTCACTGTGGAGGAAGTAATCACTTTTTTTAAAAAAAAACAACAAAAAGTCAGGATCAAAAGGATTTTTTTTTTTTCCAGCCAGTAAGCTTTAGGGTAGGAAATTCAAACATTTTTGCAGCCACTAAAAGGAATACTGAAAACCAGCTACAGAAGCATGATTTTCATGACTGAATTGTCAGTGTGTTTCAGTGCTTTGATCTTTCTAAAGGAGGCTGCTTAGAGTAATCAAAAGCCATTTAAAACCAAAAGAGAAAAATAATTTTAAGTATGAAATTACAAAATTTCTTTTTATAACAAATGGTAGAGGTATAACTAACTTGGTTCAGTGTAGCTAAATACTATTTTAAAAAAGCATGAAAATGGCTACTGAAAAAAGGTGTCAGACTACAAATGACCTTCTAAAAAGGTGCTGCAGTATGTCTTGCTTAATGTACCTTGTTCGAAACAAACACAATCTTGAATATATACCGAATTCAACTCTTAATTGTGGTGTGGTCGCTTGTTACTTTTCATACTGACATACACTTCTTCCAACTAAGAAGAAAAAAAGTCTAGTTGCACATTACTGAATTTCAGCAACTGTAGTGCAACTGGGAATTCTGCTCTTTCTGTAATATCACACTGCTACACAGCAAGCTTCCCTGCAAGGAGCTATGTAGTTGGTTTTTAAAGCAGATGATATATTCAGTGCAGTGAATGGGATGTTTTATCACTGGTTTGATGCCTCGGCCAAATCCCAAAGTTACTCCAACAGCAAGTATTCTCCAAATGCAAAATGCTCCCCCCTCACCTAACTGGCCACACATTACTAACACAAATATAAAAAGTGCTTAAGAATCGGGCATTCTTGATTATATAAAATGCACATCTAAACAACTTAGCTTTCTGCCCAAACTGGAATTCTTTGAACAAACTAAAGAAAAACGTGACCTGAAAAGTAACATTTCAGGCCATTTTTCCCATACATTGAATCATTTGCCAAAGAAAGACTATTCCTTTGCCAAAGAAAGCCTCCTGTGGAATTGATGGTCATAACTGCTGGCTCTGAATTTTAGGAAATGAAGAGAAAAGGTAATCTTCAACTGTGCTTTCTTTTCTCACGTCAGTGGCTGTGAATCACCTGTTTGGGAAAAAAGAAAAAGGAACATCTTGAAAAGCTGAGCAGCTGTTCAAATATTCTCTGATCAATGTATTAGGCAATTCCAACACGCAATACGGAGCAATGTCTTCAAAAACCTTGATTCTCTTTGCTTCCAGGGTACTGACACTAACTCTGGAGCCCAGACACACACAGTATGACTGGGTTTTGGGGTTTTTTTGCCTTTAGGTATTACTGGCAGTGAACTCAGATTAGTTTTTGAAGAGGCTCATAATACTGCCTTGTAACACTACAGAGAGCAAAAGCTCACTTCTTACCAGCTACTTTGTCCATCACTCCCAGGAACCCAGGTTCCTGTCTACTTATAATTATCTAATGTACTATGTGTACCATTATGTACACACACTCATAGACAGGCTTGGGATACTTTTTTTAACTTCTGATTCTTCCTTCATACAGACACTTCTGCATCGTTATACTGTTTGTTCAGCCATACTTCTAATACATAGAATGACTCCATGTTTTTTTACATGGTTTTGCACATGGTTTGTATGAGGAAGGAACTGCTCTTTAAAACGTAGGTCATAACTTCAGGTAGAAGTTCACTCACAAAGGAGGTAATGCAAGAGATTACAAGATCCCCTGCAGAAATTAGCTACTATTAGTTCAAATTTCAGTAATTAATTAAACCACTTCAGTGGGCATTATTAGTATTCCTTGCACATGCATTAAGACACATTTTGGCACTTGAAAAACATGGGTCGCTGTATACAATTTAGCCTTCATTCCTAAGGCAAATTACTGTGTTACAGTTACTATGTGGATGAAGGTGCATTAAGCATGGTTAGTAACGTGTGCCAATATACTTTTGCATAACTGTTTTTGACCTAAAATTTCCATGCAACTTTACATGTAGAGCTTACAGTTAAAAATCAGCAGGCCAATCTTAAAGCATGCTATTAAATTAATAACCTTATAGTAAAAAACACTATTCTGTAATGTCTACAACAGACTTTAATTAGATTTTACTCTTGTGTAATAAATTCTGGGTAACTAGTCTATATGTTCAAGCAAGCACACTCTTCTATGTGAGAAGTATTTATTCAGCTGAATTTCATGAGGGCTTTGGCTCAGATCTAGAACAACTACCCACTGCCAACTGTCTGTGGGACATTTCGCCACAGACAACTTGCTGCTTGGACAACTCTCCACTGTGCAACTCACTGCTGGGACATCTCTGTTCTGAGATAGCCCTCCACACATTGGCAGATGAGGAACAGCACAGCCCTGTGTCATCTGCCAGTCTACAGAGACTTGATCACAGGAGGGCTGTCCCAGCATTAGAGGTGTTCCGGCACAAAGGTATCCAGCAGAGAGTCATCCTGGCAGTGAGTTGGCTTCAATGTTGAGTTATCCTGCAGAGAGCTGTGATGTAGAGCTGTCCCTTCTGCTTTAGTTCAGCCTCTGTTCTCCCAGTTTATTTCATGTGCTTCCATAGCAGTGGCCTGTTCTTCCTTTTGGAGCTGTTACCTATTTTGTACAACTATTTTGGATCTCTACTGTTAAATAGTCTCATCTCATGATAACAGGACTGTTCTCATAATAAAATAACATTAGTAAGAGATAGCAACTCCTAGATGTGTGAAGAACTTGAAGTAGCTCAGCCATAAAATTCTGGCACTACACCCTGTTTTAGGTCCAAGTGGTTTCACAAGAGGACCTCAGCATTTGACAGACTCTATCTGGGAAAGCTGTAACTGTAGGGTGGTAAAAAAAAAGGACAGAGTGCACTACAGTTACTGCACGGCAGTAATTTTCAACCTGCACTCTGAACTGTTTTTATGGGGCTGGAAAAGATAGCAGAAGAAAATGTGTATTTATATTGCAGATGAAGATTTCTAAGAGGACACACTTCCAACAGAAAACATTTATGAGGTTCACCAGCTAGATTAAAAAAAAATTAAGTAATTCTTGGATAAATTCCCCCCTCCCCTTTTTTTTTCTTAAGTGACAGAGTATGAAAGAGTATTGCTAAAAAATGCAAGCAGAATCCCAAAGAGTAAGTTACATTTGCTGAAACCATAAACCCAGGTCACAAAGTTTAAATTTGCTCAGTTCTCTCAGAAATTAAGAGAACAATTGCACTGAGAAAGCCAAGTCAGTTCAAAGGCATGTCTTCTTTTACAGCTGTCCCTTGACTTTTGAAGGGTAAAGGGAGTTTGCAGCATGCAAGCAATAGAAAATCGTTACGAGTTTCAGCAAGAGTTACACCTCCACTCCCGGATTTTCAATTTGAAAACTAGCAGCACATTTGGTATGGAGTAGAAGGAGTATGTCTTACTTAAAAAGCATTATATCATTAGTGTGGCCAATTTAATGAGAAAATAAAGGCAACATTTCTTCTCCTTGTTAAAAATGTTAAATATTGTTGTTTGAAAATAGCATTCCAATTGAGCAGTTTGAGACCCAGCATCTCTTAATCACAAAAACATCCAGCAGAAGATGTGACCATCACCATGGAGAAGTCACCATCACTTTTTAAAATACTGTAGCACTTCATCAACAGTCACCCCTCCAGCTAAGGTCATAAATAACCAGGATAGGAATGCCTGATTGTAAGCATCCAAAAAGGTTATCTCTTTCCTACTGCTATCTGTGTTGCAAGATTTATAAGTATTTGTCTTCAATAGTCTTGAAATAGCCTTTGATGTCTAAACAGATTTTTAAGCTCTTTACAGAATGTTATACCTTTCTTTTTCCAAATGTTAAGTTTTGTGAGAGCTTTCATTGAGACTTAAGTTCATCCACATGCCAGCAGCAGAAACACCACAGGGGAATAGTGCTTTTTGTGGCTGGTGTAATCCAGAATCTCTTTGTGTTACTGATCCAGCCACAATTTTGAAAACTTATCCCTTGACAATTTTTGGTTTGTTCTGAAATCATTAACTTCCATCTGCTGAGGTCTAATATCTGTACTTTCAGGTACTGTAGCTTGTTCATGGGATTTGTATGACTGGCAGAAGTATAAATTATATTTTTATATTTACTGTGTATAGTCTGGAACTTCAATTAAATCAGAAAGTTTACAGATGGAAACCAAGCTATCAAAGAGTCAGTTCCCAGGGTAACCAATGAGATTTCTATGTGTTCTGCAGTAAAATCTAATCATCCTTCACTTGGAGCTATTTAGCCTAAAGTGATAAGCATGCTAAAATTTACAAGGCCAGAAGTAATCAGAAAATAAGTACAAGGTGTGTCCAAGAGTGATTGTGCTGCTTTGTTACTTAAAAAGCTTTTTAAAGCTTTTTGGTAAGCTGCAAACAGTCCCTTAAAATTTGCTAAATAAAATAGAGCTTTTTATAGAAGCAGTCCTGTCAATATTCAGCAAAAGTATGCAAACAATAAAAGGCTGTTGCCTAAAGAATGTTGTCCTTACTATAAACCCTAAATTATTTGAAAAGACAATAATCCTAAATTCATATGTGCATGTTTTACCATGCTGGACATCAGAGTTTAGTCACACTCAGTAAGTCTCCTAGAATGCACAGCCTGAGGCTTAGCCACTAGGTGTTATAAAAAAATTGTTGAAGAAATACTTTTTTTTAAAAAATGTAGATTAATTACTGGTTAATTTTCCCAGTCTGTGCAAGGCAAACTCTCCTCTTCATCCTCCGATTCAGGTGATGCTTCCTTAATTCGTCGCAATGCTTCATGGATGCTCCTTGTCAGAGGGTCAGTATCAGGCAGAATTGTAAAGGATTCTCTCAAAACATCTTTCTGCACTTTCTTCAGTTTGACCCCTTTTCTGATCTGTGCCAAGATGTTATTGCTATCATCTTCATCAGGAAAAGGTGGGAGACTTCTCTGCTCAACTTTTCTTAAGTGAAAGCTGCCACGTTTCAAGGAAGCCAGCACTTCATCCATCGGGGAACTCACTGCAGTAAATCAAAAGTATAACTTTAACTATATTTTATCAGTCTTATTTGTATTTCCTACAGACCAAAAAGTAACTGCGTACTATTACTGTGGTAGTCCCATACCATAGGAATAATGGTAGCTCCACTATCGTTTTAGCCTCCAAATTTATCTTCCTTATTACCAGGTCAAAACTGGTTTATTCAGACAATTACAATATCTGAAACCACTTAACCTCCTACCTTTTGAACAAGATGCTTTTCCTGTTTGCAGGAAAATCAAAATATCTGCAATGAATCCAACACAATGAAAGTGTTTATTATATGTCTTGCCTTTGAAACTCAGGTAATGAGTACATGTGTAAAGTATTAGACTGTGCAGTCCCTTCTCAGCACTTGCATTTTGTGGCTGGTTTTACCTACTGTATGACTATTATTACTACATGCCAGTGAGGGAAGCAGCATTATAGTCAACTGCAACAACATCCATTTTCCTGCTTCTCTGGATTCATGTATGTATTAGCATCTAGTCACAGTGTGCCTATATAGATTATCTTCATGTATAATAAATGAAAATAGGTAAGTAAGAGTTAATACTTTATGATATATCCTTTCTTTATCATCAATTTGAAGCTAGTTCTTTGTGCAAATAAAAAACAGGCTTTGGCTCTCCTGCCCAGAGGATGCATTACAAGAAAGTACCACAGTTTGAAATAGCTTGCATACACTAGCACATACAACATGCAGCACATATCAGTGAATAGATTAATATCCATTTTCAGGTCTTTTCTTTATACTGTAGAATACATTTTTAAACATGTTTTGCACTTATAAGTGGGCTTTGTCTATCAGACTAATGGTGCAGACAGTTGGAATAGACACACGATAAATAAAAGAATACCCCAGAACTGCACATTTGCAGGAGAAAGGAAGGATTGTAGAAGACTCATCTGTCATACGGAGACACATTTCTGAAGCCAGTTAAAGACTTGGAACATCTCGGGAAATACTAAACGGCAGATGGAGTGCTGCTGCAGACATTAACATAATTTTAAGAGGGAGGATATACTTTTACTTTTTATTGGTCATGTAATGCTGTATATCAAATTGTGCACATAGTATGTGATTTACATAAAATTGCAAGATGGAATGGGTATCAGAAAAATAAATAATAGGTTACCAAAAAAATGGAGCAAAACAGCATCAAAATTGATAATGAACTTGAGACACTATACTTGCAACCTGCAAGGTACAAGACTCCTAAGAGCTTAAGAATTCTGTAACTATGCAATTGCTTCAAGGGTTTTCAGTCATTTAAGGACAATTCTAGACGGAATGCTCTTGTTTCTGTCTGATCGATGAAGACAGTCCTAAATTTTATTTTATATTATGGGGGAATTGTCAATGGAAGGATGTTTTCTGTAGCTGTAACTGATCAAGTCAGACAGAATTTTTAATAAAATGTTACTACCGCCGTATTACAGTACTGTGAATCAGGGCCCACTCAAGGTACTTTTTTCCTAGTGATTTCCGGTACAATAGTACAGCTGAGCACATTGCAAAATATAGTATCTGACTTTCAAACAGAAACTTAGCTCCAATATAGCATGTTTGACCTAAACACCAGGATTATTGTGTTCAAACACAGCTGTCTTTCCCCCATTTTATATATGGGATAAAGGATTAAAAGTTTAGAATAAGCAGCACAGTCAACAAGTTGTAACAGCTGTCCCAGATCAGCCCTGTGCTCTACTCATTCTCCTCAGTTTGCAAATAATTTTTTTATCTTTGAACTACTAACACAGTTTGTTGAATGATTACAGATTTAATTTTGAGTTATAGTCAGCATATACATTCTAATACAGCTCTTAAGCATACCAGAGGGTTTGTGCCTTTTTGTATGAAAATTTGAAGAAACATTGAAGATAACATCATTGCGATTCCTTATGTCCCAAGACAAGTATTCACTTTACTAGGTTATAAATTATGTACAATTCTGTTATAAAAAACCCACTCGCCCTCAGATGAAGCACAGAGTATTTGCAGTGATGGCTGCAAACTAGATAGGAAAATTTAATTTTGGGCAAAGTTCAGTTCCATTTTTTAGTTAGTCTAACACGGTACACTGTAGAATCTGTTTCATAACTGTTTTCTAACAGAGCTACTATACTTCACACTGTCATGAAGATCCTAGTATTTGTTTGAGTTGCCACCATTTGTCACTGAAAAGGATTTGACAACTTTCTCATCAGTAAGTAAATAAATCACAGCATCCACTTTTCTGTAGAGCAATTCAAAAAAGGAACTCATGTGCATTACCACGAAATACAGAGAAATGAAAACATTACCTCTCCTCCTCTGTAAGCCCTCTAGATCACCAGTCTTCTTAAGCTTCTTCTTGGCACTGACTAGCTGACTACTGTCAAACAGATGTGCAGGTGGGACACCAGAAGAGTGCTGGACTCCTTTCTCCTCACTCTGACGTTTAACAAAGGTGTTGCTTTTCTCTAGGGATTTGGTGGCATCTTCCCTGGAGGGCAAAGGTGGAGGTGGAGGTGGTGGAGGCAAAGGGGGTGGAAGTGGTACTACAATAACAGTCTCTGGTTGAAGCTCATTACTGGTGACTGGAGAAGGACTAACATGGGGCAGTTCAGAGGTAACACCATTGGGAGGTAACGAGACATCTTGTTGTTCTAAGCTTGTGGATTCCTGCACTTGCAAAGGCTGATCTGCCTTTTCCAATTCCACCTCTCCACTTTTCTCTTGGATTGGTATGGTTGCTGGCAAAGACTGAGGCTGATCGACACAGGGCACTGAGCTGCCTGCACATTTTCTTCTTGCGTGAGCCATCCGCAGCCTGGTTGATTTAAGTATCACTTGTCCAGGGTACCGCTACAGTGAGCAAGTTATTGACAATTAGATAAGTATATGCAACACGCTACACTAGATACTAAATACCTGTTGTTAGAACTCTACTGACAAGTAGAATTCATCTGCCATTTTGCTCTGGATGGAAAAACAAACCAAATGCATCCTCACCTTCCTGCAAAAATTATCTGTTTTCTTAATTTTGATTCTTGATTATGCCACAATTCACATGATTGGTCTAGTCAGGGATATACTTGGGTTAGAATTAAGACTTCACTAAGAACCACGCTGTACATTCAAAACTGTTTTTTTTTAAAACTAAAATTCAAACTTCCCTCTTGTTTTCCTTTTCTAAAACTGGTCAATGGCTCCCTCTGCAACAAAGTCCTCTGTGACCTAATACACTGGTCTCAGATGTGAAGCACACTGCTTAAAAAGGTGCCCCTTGGGAACATTAAATATTATGTGACTTTCCAAAGTATTTTTAATTTAGTTCTTAAATTTGCTGCCTCAGTATCTGTCTTTTTATATTTCATCCATAGCCATTTTAATGCAAAAATGTGAATGGCTTCTGAAAGATTGGTCTAATGCATTTTACAGAAGGCCTAAAGCAATAGAGACAATAACAATATAAGCACGGTCATATATGAAGTCAGTTAATTAACAGTTGATGGCTAAAATAAATACATTCCCCCTAATTTACAGAAGCTATGCAAATCAAAAGCCTTGCAAACAATAAGGATATGAATGCTGAGCAAGACAGCTTTCCAGTAAATAAATTTCTCACACCTGTTTTTTTAATGCATCCAGGAAAGCCAGAAAAAGTCCTCACCAATTAACAGTCTCTATTTTCTTGCACTGTCACCCCTTTTCTTATTCTCTCCCCTTCATTCCATCTTCTAGTCATTTTTTGATACTTACATTGTCATAAGAAGGGGCAGGTATTGATAAGGTGTTCTAGCAATCAGTGCAAGTGGGGCTATGTCAGATGGCAATGCTCTTTTTAGGAAATACCATTTAGATTATACATCTTTTAGGTATGTTTGCTAAGCATCTTCTCATAAGGTGTAGATGTAAGAGTGGAAAAATCTTATTATGACATAGGGAAAGTAACAGCTAAGGAATTCATTACCACCAACGCCACATTTTATTGTAAAGTTTCCAAAGAACAGCTAACTATACATTGAAAGTATGGTCCTGGAATGAGTGAAAACTTATTTTGCAAAAGAACTGGTAGAAAAAAACAATCCTTCTTCTATTACCTGTTTAAATGTGCGAAGTCTGTCCAGTGTTTTCTGCCGTTCCTGACTAACCCAGGAGCTCTTTCTTTCCTCTTCATCTTGTAACTGATCTCGCTTCTGAGAAAATATATGGAAAACAGACCCATTACAACCATTATATATATATCCAACATATACATCCAAGCATAATCCATTATAACCATTATGTTTAGCATAATTTTAAAAACTGAAGTAAAATAACTCCTCTACTATTTGTAAGAATCTACTTCTCAAATAAACACATTTCTGAACTTCAAAACTTGGCTTTTATCTTCTCCTTGAAAAACATGCATTTCATGTTTTTTAACCTCCAAGAAATGCAAAGGTCAGTAAAGAAAGACTTCAGTCTGGAACTGGAACAACTGAAGTGTCACTTTGAAAAATGAGAAATAATTAGAGATGCAACAGAATATTATACTGAAAAAGGCCCTCTTAAATAAAAATTTGTATAAATTAGCCAGACAGCAACCCAGTATTACTTTTGCTCTCATTCTAAGAACAAAATAACTGCCTAAATGGCAAGGTTGCCCATTTAAAAGAAGTCATATTAGTATTTTCACAGTCCGAGAAATCACATAATTCAGTGCAACAAAGATTTAAATCCAACACTGAGCAAATTAAATAAACATTTTTATTATGATTTATAACAGTAACTGAAAGCTTTGTATTTAATTAACTTAAGATGTCATTACTTAAACCAGCCTGTTTTTTTTGTAATCTTCAATAACATTTTGAAGTTTTACCTTGCAGCTAAGACAGTTTTATTTTTCCTTTTGTTTGAGGGTCTTCCTCAGGGAAAACATATGTTTGGATCCAGTTCCTTTAACTAGACATCAATTTTCACAAAAATTCAGCACTTCTCTTCAGTAAAATTTACAGAAAGTGTATGCTAGTTATCAGATGGCAAATGTTGCTGTATGCAAAAGCAATAGAACAGATGACTATAAAGAAAAAGCCCTGAGCAGAAGCCACAGCTTTAATTCGTATAAGACTCAGAGCATTAAGCATTACTTTTAAAAGCCCATGTTCATAATAATTATTTAAAATTCTCATCACTTTTCTTGTAATTCAGTCAATGCAAAAGCAGTGTCTGCCTGCCATTTTCAGAATCAGCTAGTGGTGTGGTATCTTTCATAAAGGGCCAACTCCTGTGATTCAGAAGGATGTATAGATGCATCAGGGAGAGAACATTTTGAAAAATAGTAAGGACAGGAAACTGGCAAAAGCAAAGAGCAACAGAAGCATGTGGTGACAAGAAGATAACAAGACTAGTGGGGCAAAGAAGTTAAACCAAAAGCATAAAGAAAATATTATATCAAGCAGATAGGATAGTTCTACTATCACATCTGCATGTTACATACACAATCAGGTCAAACTCTTCTTGATGCAGTCTCAAATTCAAGGTTTGGGGTTTTTTGTTTGGTTTAGATTCTTTGTTTATTTTCTTTTGGTTTGAAGTAAGAATAGTGAAATTACAATTCTTACTTGGTTCAAGTTTGGACTCTCTTGTGGCTATCTTTTCAAAATTATTCAGGAAAATGAAAACCTATTTTGCAATAGTTATGTGACTTTTCAGTCACATTCCTAACAGAAAAATGTTTAAAAAATAATGGCCTAAGTTACTTCATAAAATGCAACTGGACAACTCCATGAAATTAATACTGAAAAAGCTCTGTAATTTTTGAGACAAGAAAATCTTGCTTTGTCAAGTCTTACTTTTAAGAGTGATAAACAGACTACAATCCACTCAGCAATTACTTTTGCCTTATGGTAAGAACTGGAAAAAACTCAACAGTTTTCTAAGTTCCTGAAAAAATGTGCCAATATGTGCTTTGATAAAATGTGTGCTTTCATAAAATAAATTACACAGCTGACTTTCTGGACAAATGTATCAATGTTAAAAATGCATAAGGATGAAACAGAATCACTTTCACTTACCTAATTGAAGCCTGGATTAAAATGACTTGTATTTCAATGCATCTTTGTCAGTGCTCTTTATTAAATATTGATACTAAATCAGCTCCCATGACCTAGCCCAGAATTTGACTATTCTTTAATATAAATTCTATTATGTTCAGCAGAAGAGTCAGACTAGCAAACCTATTCTCTGCAACAAGACTGTGCGGAGAATCGAAGAGGATACAGGAACTACATCTTTATACAACACAATTGAAGTGATTTCTTTTGTACAAAGAAGAAAAATAAAGAGCAAGCTTGCTAAGATTCAAGTATAAGTGTGTATGGTTTCCTCACTCATTTCAGCACATCTGAAGCTGTACTCAGAGATGTCTGCGACCATCTGTGTAGACATGATAAAGAACGTAGATATACATGCAGCCTAACCCTACCAGTAATCACTCAGACTGTGAACTTGGCACTGAAGAACTCCCTTACTTACTTGGGTTCAATGTCATCCTAACATAGCTATTGACTCCCCCTTCCCATCATAATATGATACACATATCCATGGTGCAAAGGTCAGGGATATACACCATTTTTTTAAAACCACTATCTGAATACTCTCCTAATTGTTGTATAATAAGGAATGCAAGCTATTAACTAAATGCTAACTCAAGAGCAGAAAACTCAAACTTACTATCTGAACAGTATGGTGCATTTTGTGTTTCTCTTCACTCTGGTGATGCTGCTGGATCTTTTCATTATGCTTTGCAATACAGATCTCCTGTAGAGATATAAAGTGTTATCTGTAAAATATGAATTTTAAATATCGATTTACAGGGTATAACGTCATATTTTGCAAACAGTAATAAGAATTAGAAAAAAGCCTATGTCAGAGAAGCTAATTTAACCAAGCTATTTTAACTGATAATAAAACAATAAAATGGAAAAAAAAACCAAGACAGACAAACCCAAACCTATTACTTTTAAGCTGTCTAAAGTATATACATGAGTAATAGCTTATTGAAAAGTCTGTTCTACATTACCAGTACAAAAGTGCCAACAAACAACAATTTGTCAAATACTTTATAGAACCCTTGTGTAACTCCATGTAATTGTCTACATGGATAATAACTAAATCTCAAATAGAATACAGATTCCTGTTTATGCAACCAGGCAGCTTCCCATTTACAAGTGTCAGTTCATTTTTTGCATATATAATCTCCAAGTACAAACATTAATAAAGTTGTTACAATTTTATGCATGCACATGTGGGTTCACTTATCATACCAAGTTCTCCTCAGTAATGTCTGGTTTAAAAACAAGCACTTACTACATTGATTCCAAGTAAGAACAGGTAACAGGCCATGTTACAACAGATTACAAGAAACAGGATGATAGCCAAACTTCAGGTAGATAATATAAAAATAATTGAATTAATTATCAGTTACAAAGAAAAGACAGGTGCAGGGATTTAAGAGTAATGACCAGACATGTTCTTAGAACAATACTGAGGGTCAAGAAATCTGGCGGTATGGGCAATGAAATTAGGTGTGGTACAAACACCACACAGAACTAGAAAGAAGTTGGATGTGTAGGCAGAAACAGATCTCACAGCTGTGTTACGCACAGTCTATGGCGCAGTGTTCGGAAACGGTCTGAAGTGTGAGAACAGCTAGAAAAACACCCAAGCAATGGGGTTCCCAGCTGTCAGTCACCTTCACCTACTGGCCAGAGCCAGACAGGAGCTTTGCCATTAAAAGCACTGTGTGGGGCAGCTGATAGAGTGAGCAGCCATCAAGAAAGGTACTGCAGTAGAGGCAGATTAAAAAAAGCCCACAATTTTGGACGCTTGGAAATGGAGAAAAAGCTGTATTCTCCCACAAGGTGACTATGGACATACTGTGATTACGTTAAGAGTTAGCCAATGTTGCTGTCTTGAATGTTTCTGAACAATACACAAATAAAGCTACAACAAGAGAATAAGTTTCTATGGAAACACCTTCCCAGCTTTGTCAGAGGTAATAAATGCTGTTGGGTTTTATCTTTGTTTGTGGTGTTTTCCCTAATGAAAATATTTTTATTAATATAAAAGCAATAGCTTCTGAATATTATTAGAGAATCTGGAAGACTTTCTGTAATACTCCTAGTGCCTTCACCTTCATAGTTTATTCTCTATTTATGTGTAAAGTTCAGTTAGAAGCTGTATCAAATAATGAGGAATGTAAATTATGAGATACAAAAAAAGAAAAAAAGAGAAAATGTATGTTACAACACCCCCACCAAGCAGGTACTTCTCTCACTCTGCTCATGATGACATATATTCTTCCTGGATATAAAATAATTCCGTTTCTTCATAATTGTATTTTTCCAAATATATCTTTTCTAGATATATTGTCAGATTCACCTTAAGTCTTTTCTATAAATCTAGTTTCCTAGTAAAACAGGTGCTTGTTCTATAAAATAACCGAATTATTACTACTGTGTAGCCACTAGGGGGTAGTATGGGATAACAATATCAATATTCTGCATGAAAAATCCATAATTAGCTTTCAAGGAATAAGAAAAATAATGAGATCACTATTAAAATCTTACTTTCAAGTAACTCACTGTCATCAACACATCAGGAAATTACTTCTTAACAAATGCAAACAGATTTGTAAAAAAACCTAAAATAAAGAGTTTATATTCATGGTAGTCCAGTGAAAGAACATCAACTTCTATAAATCCGTAAATTTAAAAAATCCTGCCTCAGTTATTCAGAAGCACAACTGAATCAGGCTTCTAATGAACCTTTAGCAAAAGTTTCTAAATAAAGGTTTGGTACAATTTTTTGACATAATTAAAAAATAAAAGCATCAACTGCAAAAAACTGGGAAGGAATTTCTGAAAAACAAAATTAATAAAGACCATAGTCAAAAAAGTTTGTATTTGTATTACATACAGTCTTATTCTACAGAGAACAATTGATTCCCTTTCACTTTGTTATATCCTCAACAGGAAACATTTCTAAATACCTGGATGATGAAATGACCTCCTCTGAAAAATAAAAAAATATGATAGAGAATAATTTCCTACTGTTTTCTTAATCATTCTATCTGCTGCTAGAAAGAAGGCATACTCCTGAGGGAATCTTCAGTTGCCAAAGACCTAATAAGAAGCAAGGACTTTGATATCTAAGTATATCACAAGACCGTGATACACATTACTTACCGCACAGCTTGCTTTTTGTATTTAACCACAGAACTGACAAAGTGGGGGAAAAAAAAATAGAGGAGAAAAAAAACCGCCAACACCAAAAAAACCCACCAAAACCTCACCAACCCAATCCATAATAGAACACTTGTTTACACTTCTGTTTAAGATACTTTGCTGAAACAAGCATGGTCAGGAATATGATCTGAAAAGCATTAAGTAGATTCCCATCTCAGTTCAACTGTGTTTCTTAACTGAAATAGACGTTGAGAAAAAAATTTACCACACACTATGTACTTTCCAAACGCACCCTCAAAACCACATTATTTTCTCCATTGAGCAGTCATCACTGCTCATTCTCACCATCTCCAGTCTGCTTTTGCATACTGTATCTACCTTTGCTTAACTTAAATGGCAAACTCAATGCAAAAACACTTTTTTTTCCCAGTTTTGTAAACTGCAACTACTCACATCAGGCACTTTTAAGTAGTGCTCATTAACAATGTTTTGCAGTATCACTAGAATGCTCAATCAAGATACAACGCTTATTTATGTTTTAATCAAAACCAGAGGAGTCTTGATTTTCAGGTAATTACTATTAAGCTTAGTAGGGCTCTACATTATTCAGCAGTAATAACAGCACCTAGAGTAAACATCTCAGTACATCAAAAGGCTATGTTCTTTTCTGCACAAGTGCCTCAAAATATCACACCACTGATTCTGCCTATCCTTTTCACCCAAGTAAAAATCCTTCATTTGACAATGCAAGCTTAAATACATGTTATCCTAATCCATTATTTCTTTAGAAGCTGAATGCCAAGTATCTCACTGCAACGCTCAACTGCAGATAATGCTATGCTGGGCAATGAAATGAGTAGAGTTGGAACTAGTTCTGAGAGCTCTGTGATGTCCACACTGTAATGATGTTCAGCAGCAAGTTCCACACTGAGACATAACCTCAGGTCCCGAAAGCAGTATAGCCCCATTCCTCCAGAACAACACTGAGCAGACATGGCTGTATTACTCCTGCGTGCAGACCCAGATGAGCATCACATAATGTTCCAGTACACAAGCAGACATACTACAACTACTGTTACAGCTTAGAACTAATTCCTTCAGCTTAACCAAGGTATTTTATCATAGCATAACCTTAAAACAAGTGAAGGTGACTAGTTCATTATACAGATAAGAAAGCATGCTAAAAAATGTCTACTCTTGTTTCATTTGCTTCTTTACTCAACTCCTGTCACCTCAGTACAGAACAGCAACCAGGCTGTCACTTTTAAACAGGTTTGTGCACTCTGTTAGGTGCCAGCAGTGTCTTTTCATATTCAGGAGAAAATAGCTTATTATAATGTAGCCAATATTAATTATCATAACATGACAGATAGGACCTTTTGCTTAAAATATTAAACAGCCCAGCTTCTTGATTTCTTTTTTCTTTCTACAAACTCACATAAAACTAACTCAATGGCTCTGAGCAAACTACTTCCCATAGCAGGCTAACAGGTGAGATTTCTTTTATACTAATTATTTGCGGTCTTCTCCCTATTATGTTTATCAGAGACAGGACAGTGATTGAAGAAATATAAAAATTCCAAAATATAAAATTTATCAATTACCATTCTGTTTCTTCTGTTACACTTCAGATTCAGGTACAGAAATGTATATATTAGTTATGAAAGGGAGGCAAGACCTGAAGGCTTCATCCTCAATCTACTACAACTGTTTATATGAAGGGGTCATCTCCCACATCAAGGGGCATGACTGGGAACACAAAAACACACCAATCCCTGATGATCCCAATCTAGAATGACGTTCCAACTAAGACTGCTGCACAGTCTTACGGTATATAGTGTGAAGTGGAAACCTGTTTTTTAACAAGTGCTACAATGCTTTCTCAGAACTTTGATCTATTATACTCATCAAGCTTTCTCATTCATTAATAATGCAGAGTCATGTAACTGCAAACTGCCAGGGAACAATAAACAAGTAATTCTGTAAAAAAGGAATTAACATATTTACATACACTTGACACACAATTCAAACATTACCTATATTATAACAATATTCTGCATAACATCCCAATTGTACAACGCATAAAAAGTAAAGTGGTTCTAAACAGCACACCTAGTTTCACAACTTAAGTATATAAACTGGATTTCATATTTATCTACTGAACACAGAGTATCAGTTACACGTGCACAAGTTTAAAATGATGAGGTAAGAGAATGACCAGAGAACATATTAGTGAGGAAACAATCACAAAAATTCTCTTCCCCAAATATATATAAAACTACTCTCTGTAAAAGCATGCATTCTAGTATGTACTTTCCACATGAAAGTACTCTGATTAATTCATAGAAATAAGTTTGTTTGTTGACTTCAAAGTCATTAAAGATTTTTTTTTAAGTAAAACGTAAACTGAATCTTAAATATATCAATTTAATAATGCATACTATTATAATTGGCTCTCTGTAACAACTTTTATTAATTAGTAAATATCCATTAAAATTATGGGACACCTGGAAGTTGTACCTGAAATTAAATCTTCTGTAGTTTTATTAAATTAGCTAATTATGCTACAAATCTACAATTTAATAATACCTTCTTATTTCTGAGGTAGGCTTTCTTGGCTGAAATACGTCCACGTCTTGCTTCCAGCTGGCGGATTTTTTGCTGTAGCTTTTGTAGCTCCTCTTTTTGCAAGAGTATAGATGTTGCAGTATCTTCTTTTTCAAGCATGGCTTCCATACTTTCGTAAGTGTCATAGTATACCACTTCATCTCTCTTCTCTGTATTAAAACCACCAGAAATATAAAAGTCAAATCAATAGTTTGCATTTAAATTTTGTTTTGTTCAACAGAAACTTCCCCACTGACCCACTAGATTTAATACAGAAGAATGCCATAATCCTTTCAAAGGTCTATAAAAAAATCAAAAGTTTAGAGGAAAAGCAGTAAACAACAAAGCACTGTAGGGCTTTAAAGTTTATATGAAAAACAGAAATCAATACCAGTGAAGCACAGCGTGGTACTCAGCTGAGCTCAGAGCATTAAGAAACAAATGCAACTGTAAATATACAATTGTGTCTGTACCCTAACTTGACCACACAATGACCACACATATCTTTGGGTCTCTAAGTAATACAGGGGAAGGATAACGTTCAGTAATATCCTCTGGTCTTTACTACAAAGTTCAGGATATACAGATTCTTTCTGTAGTCTTTCGCATGAGATTCTTTTGCCATAACCTCCTTTTAATTTAATGAAAGAAGATTCAGACAACAAAACACCAAAAATCTTCTCTTAGAAGGTTTCTGACCTCCCAGTCACTGCTTCTGCTCAGAGGCAGAAGAGGGAGGGTAACTTTAAGGCAATCCTTCAGAGTATTACAGGCCTGGAAAGGCCTGTAATGACTAATATTTTATCAACACTCATTATTTTCAGCCTTCTGTATGAAGCATTCAGTACAACTCTGAGCTCATCCCTGAATGCTGTTTTCTCATCTCTTGCCAAGAAGGAAAGA